GAGAGAGAGAGAGAGAGAGAGAGAGAGAGAGAGAGAGAGAGAGAGAGAGAGAGAGACCCTCCTGGGCCACCCTTCTTCTGTTGCCAACTCGCCTCCATGGCCCATGCATGTTTGTGCAAGGCTTCCCCAGCGTTCCCTGCTCCAGCTGCTTCCCTTGGCTAATACCCAGCAAGGGGAAAAGTTGCTCTGCCACAAACAGCAGAGACAGGGGGTGAGTGGGGTGCCTGAATATGCTCCTGCAAAAAAACCTCTTCCCTTATTCTCCTCCTGTGTAAAGAGGATCCTGGGTGCTGAAGTCAATAGAGAAATGAAGAAGGGAGCTACTGGCATGAGGGAAAGACAAGCAGCAGGCAAGGAGAAAAAGTGGCTTCCTTCCCTCATGCTGACTGCTCTGTCCGTCCCCCCACCCAAGCGCTATCAAAGAGTGCCTGGGCACTGCATTCCATAGGGAAATGAGAAAGAGAGCTGCAAGGAAAGACAAAAAGCAGCTTCCTTCCTCGTAGTGGCTGCTCTGTTGTCCTTTTTGTTCATTTCAGCACCAAACCATGGAGTTTGCCCCAGCCACCACTGCCCAGGCCCTCACTTCCTTCAAGCATTTCTTTGCCTACCTGATTTTTCATCTGTCACATTTTTCCATCGTGTTTCTTGCTGTTTTGTGCAGGGAAACAAGTTTGTGGGACTAAAAAAGACCTTCAATCAATCAATTACAATTTCTTCTTTTTTTGATGAGACTTGATTGATTGAAGTTTTTTTAGTCCCACAAACTTTGTTTCTCTGCACACAAAAAAGGGCAAGAAAAGGGATGGAACTGGAAATCAGGTAGGCAAAGAAATGCCTGGGGAAAATGAAGGCCTGGGCAGCGGTGGGTGGGTCAAACTCTTCTGCTCACAAAAACCTCATCTTTGACAACGACACTGAAAGACAGAGCAAGAGCTGCCTGGAAGAAGCCAGTTGGCCCAGGAGGCAGTCAGGAATACTCTTTCTTCCCTGCCCCATCTGCCACACTCCCAATTTGCATTGAAAAAGGGGATCGGTGGCTATATGAGGGGCAGGAAGCCCCGCCATTGGGGCATTAGGGGGGAAGAAGAGATGGCAAGAGGAGTTACATTTTGCTCCATGTGCTCCAATGAAAGGCAGCTGCAGCTTGCCGTTTTCCCTCCTCACCCTCTCTGGCAGTGGAAGTCACGGGGAAGCTAAGCAAGCAGGCTGGGCCGCTGGGTGAGAAGTGAAGAAAGGCTTACCTTCCTTCAGCTGGGACGCAAGGGGGAAAGCTGGCGAGGAGTGGAAATTGGCGAAGGAAGGCTCACCAGGCAGAGATCATAGCAGCAGCAAGAGCTAGGCTTCCGGCATGACTCTAGGCACCAGCCAAGGCAGGCAAGGCGAGATAAAGAATGACTGGGTAGGGCCAGCCAGTGGCGGCATTTGCCAGTTCGAATAACTGCGCAGAATCTTAACTACCGGTACACCCGAACCCATGCAAACCGGCAGCAGCCCACCTCTGTCAAGGATACATTTCTTTATATGTGATTGAACTGTGAAAAAGTTGCATTATTCTGGGTGGGGGTAGGGGCTGGGGAAGTCTGAAAAATAAAACTTATACAGGTAGTCCTAGCCTTACAACAATTCGTTTAGTGACCATTCGACATTACAAAGGCACTGAAACAAGTAAATTATGACCATTTTCACACTTATGATTGTTGCAGCATCCCTATGATCATGTGGTTTACATTCAGATGCTCGACAACTGACGTGAATATATGTTAATATATGATGGTTGCGGTGTTCCAGAATTATGTGATCATCTTTTGTGACCTTCTGACAAGCAAAGTCAACGAGGAAGCCTGATTGACTTAACAACCATGTTATTAATTTAACAATTACAGTGATTCACTTAACAAATGTGGAAAGAAAAGTCATAGAATGGGAGAAAACTCACTTAACAGATTTCTCAGTTACATAAATTATGGACTCAACTGTGGTCATAAATTGAGGACTATCTGTAATTAAGCCAAAAGTAGAATATATACTAGGGTTGGGGTATTACATAGATTATTAAGTTAAAACTTATAGATAATTTAGCAACTAAAAATGATATTTAAAGCGATAGATGCCATCTTTTAACAACCATGGATATATTCATATGTAATATGTTTTATTTAATGGCTAGTGTAAATATTAAATATTTGTCTAATGTAAATATTATTTACTTGTATAAATATAAAAGAGATAAATATTACAATATTTATTTTATTTCTCTTCTAACAGTCTGCAAAGAAAAGAAAACAGATATTGTGTTTCTGGTGGATAGCTCTAGAAGCAGTGCGACTGAGGACTTTGAAAAAATGAAGAATTTCATGAGGTTGCTGGTGGACAAATCTGATATTGGTCCAGAGACAGTGCACATTGGAGTTGTCCAATTCAGTGATAAATGCCAAGAAGAATTTCAGCTAAATCAATACTTCACAAAACCAGATATCAACAATGCTATTGGGAGAATGTCTCTTATGGGACAGAGCACATTCACTGGAGAAGCACTCCAATTTGTGTCCAATTATTTCAAACCTGCTAAAGGATCACGGCTATATGTCAAGAAAGTTCTTATTCTTATAACTAATGGAGAAGCACAGGATGAGGTAAAAAACCATGCAGAAGCTTTGAGAGAGGAAAATATAATCATCTACTCAGTAGGGCTGTTCCAGGCTAACAAAATGCAGCTGATGGAGATCAGTGGAAAGCCTGAGATGGTGTATTATGTAGAAGATTTTGAGGTTCTAAAGTATTTAAAAAATGAGATCCTCTTTGAAATATGTAGCTCTTCTGATGGTGAGTATAACTGGGCAGTTTGCCGGGAACACGTCTCTATATATCTGGGGATATGGCTTCCGTCTGCAGTAATTTGCCTGCAGAAAAGACAAGCTAAAATTAATCAAGCAATCCCCATTATAAAATGGGTATGGAATTGAACCAAGATGGTCATCCCTGTGCTGATATATGAGCAGAATCACACTGATCTCCAAAGTACTAGATCAGGGGTGTCAAATTTCACTGAGGGCCACATCAGGGTTGTGTTGGACCTTGGGGGGGCAGGGGGGGCATGGCCAGCTCAACATCACTTGTGTCGGAGGCGGCTGTGGTGGCCTGAGCACTCTGTCAGAGAAAACAGGCTCCGAGCTCCATTTTCAGCTGCCATGGCCTCCTGCAACCCTTTGAGGCACCTCCTGAGCGCCATTTTCCCTAGCAGAGGCACCATGGGCTGGTCCTTCGCTGTTTCCAGTGTGGCCCTGCAGGCAGATCTAAGCACCCCATGGGCCAGATGTGGCCCATGGACCTTGAGTATAGATCAATCCCTTAGTTTTGTTCAATCTGACTTATTGTGACTCTCTGTTCAAGAGTCTTTGCTAAGAGTAATTTCCTAATACAGTATTTCACTAGAGAGGATCATTGCAGTTTAACCTTCTGATTTATTATGTTCAAATGAACACATTTCTCTAATTCCATTGAAGCTCCTGAAAATAGACACAGCCCTCCAAAATTTGCTTTCTCTTTTATGGCAAGGTTAGGTAGTGGAACATACCAATTCATCTTAAGCAATTTACTCAATGTATTATTATAAGCAATCCTAAATAGAACATATAGATAAGGTGTTCATTGTTCAAGGAACAAATGAAATCAAATAGAATAGGAACATGTATCAGATTCCAAAATATGCCAAGTTTCAGATTCAGTATATAGCCATCCTAGGTATTAAGATGCAGGCAGGAGGCAAAGAAGCTTACATCCCATGATAAAAATGTCGTGATAGTTGAATGCCATCTGATGGAAGAAGGCCTTTCATTTCCTCAGAAGACTAGCTACCATACCACATCTCTTAAATTTGGCTCCTATTAGTTATACAGTTTTGCCTGAAGTCTATTCTTAGCCAGGACTGGTTTAACCAGGGAGGTCTATTGCAATCATTTGACTTCTGAAGGTGTTGGTTGGTTGCGCTAGTTCACTGGGCAGTGTGGTCGCATTTATGATATTTTGGGATCCAAAATTGAAAAGTTCATTTTGGAAGCCCAGCACAGCTGCTTCCATATAAATGTAAATGCTTATGTAAACATGACTAATCTTTTTAGCTTTTTATTCCTGACTGTTCTATGGGTAGTCTGCAGCTTACAATTACAATGGAGCCAGCTATTTGGCTTGTAAGTTGTTGTGGTTGCAACTTGAGGCACCATGTTTTTATGATGGTTGTAAAGTGAGTCACTGTACTTGTTAAGCAAATCACATGGTTATAAAATAAACCATCTGGTTTATACCCAATTGGAATTTTTAGTTTTTTCTGCTAGAAAATGGCAAAAAACATTGTAATTGTATCAATTGACCATGGGATACTGCTACTGATTGTACATACCTAACATACCTAACAATTACATAACTAACTACACCTCCTTCTTAGCCTTTCCCCCATGATTTTAATCAAAAGTCCAGATGTTGTATTCTGCACTATTGGAAGTTTTCAAACATTTTTCATGGGTATTCCTGATGCTTGCCTGTAATAGTTACTTAGTTATTTCAAATGTAATGAACAAAGGTGTGTCACTTATAAATTTCAACTGTTATAATTCACATTTGTCTTACTTTAGTTTGATGAACTAACACAAGAAGTGTTATCTGAGTTCCAAGCGAGATCATTAGGAAATGTTTGATTCTGAAACAAATTCATAGTGAAGCTAATCTACTTGATTAAGGAAAGGAAAAATGAACTGCTCATTCAAAACAATTAAACCATCATAAAATAAAACTGTTAACATTTTGTTGCAGAACTTTATTATCTTGCTTAGGTGAGTAGTGTAGTGTTTCCTGCCTAAGCAGGGGGTTGGACTAGAAGACCTCCAAGGTCCTTTCCAACTCTGTTATTCTGTTTTCTGTTTTCAAACATTTTGATGTGCTTTCATGTAACCCATTCATCCTATTCTTATTGTAGAATGCCGAAGAATAGAACGTCTAGATATTATTTTTGTCATTGATGGTTCTGGAAGTATAGATCCCAAAGAATATGATATTATGAAAGATTTCATGATAACCTTGGTGAAAAAATCTGATGTTGGCTACGATCGAGTTCAGTTTGGAGCAGTCAAATATTCTGCAGAGCCAGAAACATTTTTCTATCTCAACCAGTTCAATACCAAATCGGCAATCATTGAGGCTATTCAGAATGATAAACCTATAGGAGAAACAACATACACAGCCAAGGCATTGCGTCATTCAGAAAGTCTTTTCTCCAAGAAGCATGGGAGCCGCAAACACATCCCTCAAGTTATCATAGTGATAACTGATGGGGATTCTCATGATGCAGCAGAGCTTGAGGAAGTATCGAAGAACCTCAGGGCTCGTGGGATTGTGATCTATGCTATTGGGATAGAAAGAGCCAAGCCAGATGAACTTTTGACCATGGCAGGATCTGAAGACAGATATTTCTATGTAAATACATTTGAAGGCCTGAAAAATCTCTATCCCAGATTATCTGATAATATTTGTGGTGTTTCAAAGTCAGGTAGGTGGTTATTTTCTTCAAGAAAAAAGTAATGAAATATTTGTGAAAAAGGAATTATCACACTGAAATGCTATTGTGATTTAATGATCAGTAAATAAAACACAAAATCAGTCTAAAACCAGAAACTGGTTTCAAAGTGATGGTTACTCACAATGTTTATTGGAGATTAATTCTAATCACATGTATATTGGAGTAATAATCTTGCAATGAAATTCTGAAAACACCTACCCAGAAAATAAACTACATAAGACTCAATACAAAATAAGATTGTAGGGCATTACAAACCTAAACATTTTTCTTATAGCCTCATCTCTATGGCATAAATATACTGCAATTTACTATCCACATTGATGCATAACTACCAAGCTATTTTACAGAATTATAGTTCAGCTGAAATATATATATGTTGGATTCCAGGGTTCAGTCAAAATAAATTGATGAGTTAGTATCATCCAACCAGAAGTAGGAAGATTGAGCAAGACATTTCCTAGGGTATTCTGAAATCTCTGACTGGTAGGTTATGATCTCTTTATGAACTGGAAATTTCCTTCCTAATTAAAGCTTTAACATAAAGTAAATACAATAAATAAGAACTAAAAAACAAGCAAAATTTACATTGAAGCATCTGATTATTTTTCAGGATCCATTATTGGTTAATCTTCTCTCAGCTTGTCTTAGACTATTTTCATACCTTATTATGTTTATCTTCTTTCTCCTCTATTGCAGAATGTGGAATTCCAGCAGATCTGGTATTCCTGATTGATGGATCTAATAGTATAAGTGACAGTGATTTCACTAAGATGAAGATTTTTTTACAAGATGTAATTCATCCGTTTGATACCACCCACAATGTGCAAGTTGGTATTGCTCAGTATAGTGACAGATACCAAGAAGAGTTCAGTCTCAACATTTTCTCACGGAAATCAGAACTTGAAAATCAAATCAGACACATTCAACAGATGGAAGGACTTCAGACATATATTGGTGCTGCCCTTAAGAAAGTGAAGCTCTACTTTACTCCAGAAGGTGGCAGCAGAATAAATGAAAAGATCCAGCAGATTTTGCTGGTGATCACTGATGGAAGGTCACATGATAGAGTTGTTCAAGCAGCAGAAGATCTGAGAAAGAAAGGCGTTGACATATATGCCATAGGAGTAGGGAGAATTGACCATTTGCAGCTTAGTCAGATAGCTGGCTCCTCAGACAGAAAATACACAGTTGATAATTTCAGCGAACTGAAAGTAATTAAAAAAAGACTAGTTGACGATATTTGTGAGCAAGAAGATAAAACATGTAAGTATTCTCACTTCAAGCACTCTAGTAGTTCAAAATTTTCCCTTTTGGAAAAAAATGGTTTATATGTTTTTGTTCCATCTAATCATAAGGTTACAAAGATCTGATTTGTTATATTATAAAGATGAATCTTGGTGAATGTTCAAAAAGTGCCACCAATAATTATTTTAAATAGGAGCAAAAAGAACAAGGATGATTTTCTTCTACTTTTAGTTGAAATTAACCTTGTTGTTAAAGCTCATGTCAATGTAACCTAATATATACCACCAAACAATTGAACAATTTAACAAAATAGATTAAATCTCTGATTTAGTTTAGCAATGGACAAATTTATCAAGGCTATTATTAACTTTCTCCCCAAATATAATTAGAGATATTCTGTTTATCAGTTTAGAAAAACCCACACGCAAATTCATATGTTCATGTATATGTAAGACAAGAGAACATTTTATATGCCTCTCTAAATGCATACATTAATTCATGTTTATGTGCAGTTTGTTCAAAAAGCCCCAATTGTTTTCATTTTCATAGTATAAATATTTCCATATGGTGAACTTGGATTGATACATCCCATTACAAATTAATGAAAAATATGAATACAAGTGGATTTTAAATCAGATATAGGTTCAGAAGGTACATATTAGGCATTTTCACATTAAAGTGAACCAGATAAATGTCTAATTGGTTTAGAGCAGGTGTGTCAAACTCGATTTCATTGAAGAACAACCTCATCGGGGTTGTATTTGACTTCAGGGGACTGGGCAGAGGTGGGTTCCTCCCGGTACAGTACGGTACACCAGAAGAGGTAGTGAAAATCTGGCGTACCGGATAGGACCAGTAGTAATAAAGGTGGCCTGAAGCTTTTTTAAAAAAAGTTTCCCCCCCTGCTGGTTCAGGCAAGAGAAAAAGCTTTAAAAATAAAGAGTGGGGGAGGAGGAGGGAGGGAGGAAGGAAGAAAGGAAAGGGAGAAAGAAAGAGAAAGAAAGAAACTCACTTTTCAGCCAGGAGATTCAGCCAAGGAGAAAAACAAGTGCTGTTGCTTTAAATCAGAACTGAGCATGCCTGGCTGTGGAATTCTGGGAGTTGAAGTCTACAAGTCTTAAAGCTGCAAACTTTGGAGAGTCCTGCTCTCCAAAAAAGCTGTTTGGAAGGAGATTTTCAAAGTGACATTCAGCAGTTTGTTTCTGGGTCAGCTGAACAACAAACTGGATAAAATGAAGAATTCTTATATGGTTCTATGTTTTTGAAGATTTGGGGTTTGTGCAATATGGGCTTTGTGTTTGGATGATTCCCTGCTTGTGTGACTGAATGGAGCCAAACTTTCTAAAGGCTCATTATCACTATTTGGCAGGAATGTGGAATGAGTCTCAGGCAGGTTTCTTTGTTAGCAATTTGATTTTTCCCTTTCTGGGCGTAATATTGTATTCGGGAGGGGGTTGCTTCCCACAGAGAGAAGGGTGAAAGAAAGAAAGAAAGAAAGAAAGAAAAAAAGAAAGAAAGAAAGAAAGAAAGAAAGAAAGAAAAACATCACAGCAATTTAGGGCTAAAAGTATACTCAGAGGTCATCTAATCCAACCCACTGCTGCAGCAGGAAACTTTACATTGTCTGGATTATTTTGGTGCCTCTAACAGAGAGAAAATTTGCCAGAAAGGAGAAGGAGTTTACTAGGACAAGGCTGCCATGCAGAGGAAGGCAAAGATAGTGCTTGACTTATGACTACAATTGAGCCCAAAATTTTGATTGCTAAGCAAGAGCATTATTAAATGAGCTTCACCACATTTTACCCAATCCATAACATCTCCTGGTGAGTGACATCAAGTTGGCTACGTCCACACAGTCACATGACCAGCAAGCCACGCCCTCAAAATAGGCCACACCCACAGATTAGGTAGTTATCAGTTTTGAAACCCATCCCTGAGACCTAGGTGGGCATGGCCAGCACGACATCACTCATGTTGGGGTGGCCTGAGTGCTCTGCCAATGAAAACGGGCTCCTGCAACCCTCTGCCAGCAAAAACGGAGCACAGGGGTGTTTCTCTTGGCCCTTCGAGCTGTTTTCGCTGGCAGAGGCACCACAGGCTGATCCTTCGCTGTAGTGGTGGATTTCAAAATGTTTTACTACCTTTTCTGTGGGTGTGGCCTATTTTGTGGATGTGGCTTGGCAGTCATGTGACTGGCTGGGAGTGGCCTGGCAGTCATGTGACCGGGTGGGTGTGGCCAACTTGTAAAATGTGGTGAAACTTACTTAACAACACTCTTGCTTAGCAACCAAAATTTTGGACTCAATTGTGATCATAAGTTCGTTCGTTCGTTCTTTCTTTCTTTCTTTCTTTCTTTCTTTCTTTCTTTCTTTCTTGCGTCTCTCTCTTCCACTTTCTTTCTCTTTCCTTCTTTCTCTTTCTCTCTTTCTCTCTTTCTTTCTCTCCCTCTCTCTCCCTCTCTCTCCCTTCCTTCCTTTATCTTCCTTTCACTCTTTCTCTTTCTTTCTCCCCCCGCTTCCCTCTCTCTCACACACACATCCCTTCCAGTTGGTGAAAATTTCTGTTTTGCCAGTTGGGAGGCTGGCAAAGAAGCCTCACTAACAATTTAAAACAAACCCTATCACTCTATGCACAATTAACTGGAGTGAGAGGGGTGGGAGTGATTTTCATGGAGGCAGAAGGGGGACTTGGCACGTGCACCGAAGCCTTCACTCCTGAGATGCCCCTGTCTTCCTACCTATAGCCATAGGCATTGAAAGCCTGAAAATGCCACCCTCATGTTTTCATGAGACAAGCCGCTTCACAAATTGCATTGGAGAATCGGGCCAATTGGCAGCGATGACTGGAAAGGTGATATGTTTTGCTTTCAGGGCTCCTGCTCCACTCAGCTCCCAGGAGGGCTTAGGCGGTGGCAGCTCCTGGGGAGTGAAGTCATTGTGGCTATTGTCTCCCCCGAGCTGCCCTCCAAATCTCTGAGGCACCTGTTGCTTGCAGGAGGAGGGGTGCTATAAAGCAGGGCCACCTTAAACCAAAGCCTCTGAGTAACTGGGAAAGAAAGATGCACTTGGAACCTGCCAAAAACCACCACTCAAAAAGCGTGGCTTTCTTTCCCAGTTGCTCAAAAGCTTTGGTTTAAGGTGGCACTGCTTTATGCTACTCCTCCTCCTGCAATAGATTTCTTTTCTTCCAGAATGGCAGGGGAAAAAAACCCATCTCACCTCCGAACTCCAACACTGCAGCTCTGCCAGAAGGGGCGGGGAGAGGGGGGACTCCTGCTTGCCAATGGGGATTCCTGGATCTTGACTGCCTCGTGCAAGTACAGTAGGTGTTACAAACACACACCATTTCCCTCATATCTGCTACTGACAGTTGTCAAAGAGAATGAAGCGCGGGGGCTTCTTTCAATAGCCGAGGAAGGAAGAGGAGCAGACGGAGGCTTCAGTTGTTGGAAGAAGCCCCCATGCTTCCTTCTCTTTGACAGCCACGTGGCTTGCAATCGGGTGGGGAGAAATCAGGGGGAGAGAACGAAGTGCAGGGCCTTTTTCTAACAGCCAAGGAAGGAAGAGGAGCGGATGGAGGCTTCAATTTTGGAAGAAGCCCCCGCACTTCATTCTCTTTGACAGCCACCTGGCTTACAGTAGGATGGGGAGAATTCAGGTCGAGAGAATGAAGCGTGGGGGCTTCCAACAGCCAAGGAAGGAAGAGGAGCCGAGGCTTCGGCTGTTGGAAGAAGCCCCTTCACTTCCTTCTCTTTGACAACTGCCTCACTTGCAGTGGAATGGGGAGAAATCAGGGAGAGATGGAGGAGAAAGCTGAGCTTCTGCTAGGGATAGCCTTCTACTCTGGCCGTGCTCATGGAGGAAGGAGGCAGGGATGCTGGCCAGTGCTTGCTTCCCTTACTGCTTGCCACCACCACCCCTGTGGCCCCACCGGCTGCAGCCCCGCCAGCTGGGCAGGCAAAGGAAGTGGGTGGCCAGGGCAAGCATGGTGCAGACAGGTGGGGGTGAGAGAGCAAGCGAGTGGCAACTGGGCAGGGGGGGGGGCTAGCGGGGACAGGCCAGAGGATCATACTGGTAAGGGGGCATGGCCAGGTTGCCATCGCCAACGGTACAGAAAAATATGGCAGTTTTCCGCTAATGGTCCACCTGTACTGGTCCATACCAGGAGGAACCCACCTCTGCTTTTCTGTTTCCAGGTTGCACTGCAGGCCAGATTTAAGCACTCTGCGAACTGGATCTGGTCTACTGGCCTTGAGATTGATACCTCTGGTTTAGAGTGATGGATATTTAAATTATTCAAACAGAGTCAGATTTTTGAATTAATTTTCTCATGGTTCTCCTTTTGATGTTGTGACATGGCTAGTGATCATAAAAACATATTTCCTCCTTTTGCTGCATTAATTCTTTTTTGTTTTTTTATTTCTTTTTCATCTGATAGTAATTTACTGTAATTGATGCTATCTCCTCCTCCTTTGTAACAAACAATAGCATGCTTCGTGGATATTGTTGTGGGAATAGAGGTCTCTTCACAAAATCAAGGTGATCATGTATTCCTTGGACAGCCCCAGCTGGAATTCTATCTTCCTCAAATTACAAGTGCTCTCACATCTTTAACTAGCCTAAGCTGTAATGCAGGATCACAAACACAAACCAGTGTGGCACTGAAAATTAAAAACACAGATCCATTGGTGGCATCAAAGTTCCAAATTGACAGTGAAAAACTTATAAACAGTCTTGTGGGCACTACCATCACCAATGCATCTCATCTTACTGCAGAGTACTTGGATTCACTTTGGGAAACATTCCAAATCAAATCTGCAAACAGAAGGAAAGTGAGTTTTCTGTTTTTATTCCTCTGTATTCAAAGTCAGTTCTATATAATACAATTTTAGGTAGTCTGCACATTATTATTTTTACTTTCATATTAGGTACTACTAATCTTTACAGATGGTTTGGATGATAGAATAGAAATCCTGAAAGACAAATCAGAAGAACTGAAAAAAAAAGGTATGTCATGAGTTTTACTAAGTTCATGTAACCATTCCATATTCCCATATTTCTAAGTAAAAAAATCCCTTTCCATGCAAAAACCAGAAGAAAAAAAGAGAGCTATAAATCTGAGACAAAGGATTTTTGGACATAACAAATTGGCAAGTTGTTGTGGACATAGTTATTGGCCTTGAAAGGTTAGGAGAAAAAAATGGAACCTGATTATCAGATGTTGGAGATAAGAATTTCATATTGAAATTTAATTTTACAGAAATACTCATCATCAGCTATGAAAATATAAGGAATTTAATATAAGGAATATAATATAAGGAATATAATATAAGGAAAACTACAAATTGTACAAATAGGGACAAATCAGGCTTACATATTGTATTTTTAATGCAGTTCTAAGCTTGGTCAGTATGTGGCAATATAAGGCTGCTGCTGTAAACCTCTTCAGACCTGAGGTGATATGATAGTTAGTTTTCCTATTGGTCAGAGGAAAATAATCTGATAACATAATGGAAATAAGGTTTCTTACTGTTAGATACTTGTTCTAACTACAGTGGTTTCCATCAAGGTCCTCTGTTCCGGTGGGAACAGAGGTTTATTCCTATTGGCCAAAGGGTCTGACAGCTCCCTATAAAAGGGCTGCTGTCAGACTCAACCTTCGCTGGATTGTTCTCACTTGTTGTACTTAATAAAGAGCTGTTGTCTATCCATTACCCAATCTAACACTGATGACGAAGGTGGGATTGGAAGGCAACTAGGCGAATCAAAAAGAGCGTAGCAATCCAGCAAGTACATCCAGCCCACAGCTCAGCGCGGCTTCGAGCAGCCATTTTTGAGCGGCAGACTCAAAACGCCCTCTGGAAACAAAATGGCCATGCATACCCCACCGACTCCGTATGACTCAGTCACCAAACACTGGCACTCTTACATGCTACGGTTTGACTGCTTCCTCGAGGCAAACAACTTCATGGGCCTTTCTGAAGGCCGCAAGAAGAACATGTTCCTCGGATACTGTGGCCAGGAAGAGACTTCTCTGAACCAACACCATTGCAATCAGTCGCCTGGTCCATGCTCCAGCAAACATTGAGGACTCATTATGCCCCCAAGCTGTCCAAGCATGTTCTCCGGCATGAGTTTAACATGCGGTACTCCGCAAGGCCGCAGCGTACTATGAATTCTGAGACCTGGATGAGCTGATTCTGGACCACATAATTTGCAGCGTGCAGGACATTACCCTGCAGAGGAGGTTACTTACTAAATCTAAGCTCATTCTGCAGATCGACTTGAACGAGGTCAGGGCATCTGAATCAGCCGTCAAATCTACTAAGAGTCTGCAGCACCAACGCATTCCACAAGATGCTTGAAAGAGTACGCACATACATTGCAAGGCTGCAGAGCCCGAGAGCTCAGAAGGCGAGGAAGATGACAGCTGCCGCATGCGCAATAGCTGCGCCCAGCTGGCACACAAATTCAAACCACATCTCCCGCCTTGTGCTAGCTGCAGAGGAGACCATGCCAGATTGGCTTGCCATTTCTGCGACGCAACCTGTCAGCACTGCAAATCAAAGGGGCACATCGCTAAGGTGTGCCGGAGCAAATTCCCTGCCACTACCTGGCAGCCTAGAAGCTCATCAAGCCACCAACAGAGGCTCAACCCAGGGGCCTGGCAGAAACCACTAAGTGCACACCAGGCAGCCAAAAAAGCTCACAGTCGTCATCGAGGATTCTCCATGCAAGATGGAGATCGACATCGGATCATCACTGACCATCATATCATGGTTTACCCTAAAGCAGGCTATCCCTAGCCTAAAGAAGCAGCATCTATGCACCCCTGACATCCACCTACGTGATTACCAGGAAAACCAAGTCCCCATTGTGGGCCAAGGCACCTTCCAGGTGAAGTTCAAGCAGTTCAGTGGGAAACTCCCAGTGACAGTGGTCAGCGGCTACCTGCAGAGCCTCCTAGGGCTAGATTGGTTCCAAGCCCTGGGCCTAGAAGGGACTGGTATCAATGCCTTGAAAGATGACGGCGCTGAAGTCATCTTTAAGGAGTTCGAGGATGTCTTTGGCACCGGTCTGGGTAAGTATGTGGGGACTCCAATTTCCTTTAGTTTGGACCCCAACATAGCTCCAATTAGGCTAAAACCCAGGAGAGTACCTTTTACCCCAAAATTGACAGGGAAATTGACAAGCTCGTGGGCCAGGGAATCCTAGAACCGGTTGATCACACATGCTGGGAGATCTCTATAGTGGCCCCTTTCAAATCTGACGGGTCTGTCCACATCTGCACGGACTACAAGTGCACAATAAATAAAGCACTACAACAAAGCGCCTAAGCTATACCTTCACTAGGCCCAGGAAAAATCTTTCAAAATTGGACATGGCGCAGGCATACCAACAATTGTCTGCAGATGGTGCTATGGCAGAGGCCCAAACCAATGTGGCGCTCAGGGGTGCATTCAAATGTCACCCTCTGCAATTCGGCATTAGTATCGCCCCTGGACTGTTCCAAAGCATCATGGAATGGCTTTTGCAGGGGATTCCAGGAATCGTCCCCTATTTAGATGACATCTTGGTATCAGCTGCAAATGAGGTGCAACTTTTAAAAAGTGTATGAACAGTTTTGGTTTGAATTAGAGACAAAGGCCTCCATATCAAAAAAGAGAAATGCTAAATTAATGTGCCAAGGGTTGAATTCCTAGGGTACCTAATCGATGGTTCTGGGATTCACCTGACTACACAAAAAATTAAAGCTATTCAGGATGCCCCCACATCTCGCAATCAAACTGAGCTGCAGGCATTCATTGTGCTCCTTAATTTCTACAGTGTCTTTCTCAAACAGAAAGCCACTATTGCTGAGCCCTTACACCATCTCCTGGCTAAGAATGCGAAGTGGTCCTGGGGCAGAGCTGAGGCTGCCGCATTTGCCGCAGTAAAATGACTCCTGTCGGCAGATTCCTTTCTAGTTCAATACAGCCAGACCCTGCTGTTAGTGCTGACCTGCGACACTTCCCCCTTCGGCATCGGTGCTGTCCTCAGCCACTGCATGTCCAACGGAACCGAAGCCCCTATTGCATTTTACTCCAGGACCTTGTCCACCGCAGAGCAGAACTACAGCCAGCTGGATTGTGAGGCTTTGGCTGCAGTGGTCGGAGTAAAGAGGTTCCACGAGTATCTATATGGCCGGGACTTCAAACTGGTTACAGACCACAAGCCATTGTTGGACTTACTGGTTGGGGACCAACCTACCCCAGTGTTACTATCACTATCATTGCTGGCCCAGTTCATGGCCAGACATTTCTCGTAGTTGTGGATGCCTACTTGAAATGGTTAGAGATAGTCCTGATGACCTCCACCTAAGGCAGAAGTCATCAAGGTGCTATGGAGATTTTTCTCCATGCACGGCCTGCCCAAAAAGAGCTACCCCAAAGCCCTCCTACCTGCGTGGCTACCTAACAAGTAGGATTGTTCAATCCAAGAGGGGAAGAGTGTTAGATATCAGTTCTAACTACAGTGGTTTCCATCAAGATCCTCTGTTCCGGCGGGAACAGAGGTTTAATCCTATTGGTCGAAGGGTCTGACAGCTCCCTATAAAAGAGCTGCTGTCAGACTCAATCTTCGCTGGATTGTTCTCACTTATTGTACTTAATAAAGAACTGTTGTTACTGTTAAGCCTGTGTGTGCCTATCCATTACCCAGTCTAACACTTACCCATCTCATAGGCTTGGTGGGAGAAAGGCCCAAGCATCTGAACACCAATTTCACTATAAATGGAGGTGATAAACAGACCAATAGAAGATTCCTCCTCTCCCTCCCATCCTACCTTTCCCATTTTTTTCCTTACAATTTGCATTTTTATTATTAGAAATGTTTGTTTTTATGGTTTTATTGCTTTTATAGGTTATAAACTGCCCAGAGCTGCCTTGAGGCAAGATGGTGGGAAACAAATTTAATAAATAAATAAACAAACAAACTAATATTATATTTGATATACAATAGATGCCAGCATTCTTTCATAATGGTTTCTTAACTTTTATACAATATATTTATCAAAAGTTTGCGTGTGTCAGTTGGCCAACAGAAGCCTGACAAATGCTAATAGCTCAACAGATTTGCAATTGCAAAAGCATTTACTGTAATTACAATTAAGTATGTATTTATTTTATATTTTTTCCATTGTTATAATTAGGCATCTTAGCTATTACTTTCAACTCTAATATTTCTTAACTAGTCAATATTAGCAATATTTTACATAAAAGATTCTGCAACTCTTAAGTATTTTGTTTGTATTAAATTGTGACAAAAGCAAGACAAAGCTAATGTTTGTTTGCTTAATGCCCAATCCTTAATCCATTTTCTTAAGGCCCAGTTCAATTTTACTAAACTCTTGGTATAATCCTCTCTGTAACCTTCTATCTATTACAGATTTCCACAACATACCTTTTCTAGGACTGTCCTCAGAAACAGAGTTAGAGATAAATTGCTTAAATGTGGAAAACTGGGGGCTTTGTTTGTGTGGACTATAGATGGTTAATCAAATCTATCATTGGATTCCCCCCCCCCCATCATTTTAGTACACTATTTCTGCAGTACCACATTATAAAAATTAAAATATCTTTACATGGACATTAAAACCTAAATCCTTTATTATAATGAACTGCAGGCATTAAATTTTTGTTACGAAGTTGAATACTTACAAATAGTGAACTAGTTGAATACTTACAAATAACCATGAATATTTTAACCAGGATTGGATGCATTAATAACTGTGGTTTTGGAAGGAGCTTCAAATTTTGATGACCTGCAATTCATTGAATTTGGAAAAGGCTACGGCTACAAGATCCAGCTGAATATTGGCATGAGAGATATTGCAAGTCAATTGTTCAAATATATGGTAAGCAATTCATAAAAGTGAAGGCATAAGTAATCCTTCCAAATCCAATTGACTTTACTTTGGGGGAGGATGTTAGGACTGCAAATTTAGAGGCTCAAACCTAGAATAAATTGGTACAGGTAAAATATCATTTAAATCTATTGAATAAGGGTAAATTATTGTGACTTGAGAGCCAAGAAATTTGGCTACCATGCTTTGAGAGGTGAAATAAAGGTTTGCCATTAGACTAGCTCTCCAGAAAGTTCCAATGCATGCTGGGATTGTCAAGAATGCTATGGATGTCCTCTTTCTTTAAATTCTGTAGGTTCAATTCTATAGATATGGACAAATATAAGTTGCAAAAATCTATAGTAAAGGACGATATTTCCATCTTCCTGCCCTGCCGCTATAAATTCATATTACAGAAAATTGAAAATCTTCTACTTGCTTTCATCCTATCCAGGAAGATTGCATTGTTAATTAATAATAACCTGTAAAGCTTTTTGCACTGTTTTCCATCATAAGCTGCATAAAGGCAGCTTAGTACAGTAAAGGCAGATAAGATACACAATTTTTAATATTGACTGTCTTTGCAAACTGAATAAAGCCAGAGTTAGTTTTTAATGTAGTTTGACTGCCATAGACTGAGTTCATGCAAAACCATGGTTTACTTTCAGAAACTTAATTGAGCAAAGAAAATGTAAGTGATAAGCTATCGTGTTTCCCCGAAAATAAGACAGGGTCTTATTTTCTTTTGACCCCCGAAATATGGCCCTGGCCTTATTGTTGGGGGGGTGGTCTTATTATTTTGGGGATGCAGGAGGCAGCAAGCATGGGACTGCATGTCCTGTTGCCCCACTTGCCTCCCCTCCCTGTTCTTCATGCTGTCTGAGTGGCTGGCCGGCACTGCCCTGACATGTCCTGCCACTGCCCTGCATCAGGTTGGGCTTTCTTTGCAAGACGAATGATCTGTGGAGTAAGAGATTTAGGAAGTCTTGGCAGGCATAGGGCGGTTTCTCCAGTGAAGTGTCTGATTCAACCCAAGGGGTGAGTGTTTCACTGCTTCTCTGCCCTAGCTTGGAAGCTGCAGAGGAAGCCTGCTATGCCCGGTGAGGCAGGGAGAAGAGACGGCAAGAGAAGCCACATCTTGCTCCATGCCTCTCACTTCTCCCACACACCACTTGCCACTCCTCTCTCTAAAGAGACTGTGGGGAAAGGAAGCAGACAGGATTCTGTTAGCATTGGGGTGGGGTGGGAGGTGTTGGGCCGTGAGACGCACATCCTACCCAAAACTTGTAGCTCCATTGCATTCCTATATGTTTTGTCCAGGGAAGCACCTTGTAAAAAAAACCTTGCGAGTCCAACTTGCCTGATAAAAAAATTGTGGATAACTGCTGCTACAGTACCCTTTGGAAAGCTGGTGCAAGGCGAATGGGGTGCATCGCTTGGCCTCCTGCTGCTTTTGTGGCAGCAATCAATGGCAAAAGCAGCTGCACTTGCTGAAGGCCGCGGCCTGAGCAGGAACCACAAATCAGCTGTTTCGTGAATGGCAGCCAGAGCGGCTCAGCGAATCCGATTAAGGAGAAGCGCTGAGGTGACCGGGGAAGGGACGTGCTTCCTCCTGTGCTGGCCACACCACCCTTTCACTAGGGCTTATTTTTTGAGGGGGGTGTATATTTACACCCACCCCAAAAATCAGGCCTGGTCTTATTATCAGGACATGTCGTATTTTTGGGAAAACATGGAATTAAAAAAGCACTTTAATATGGCATAACTGTATTATTATATTGTTTGGCATTGTTCATATATGTGCTTGTCTCTTCTTTTGATATCCACTCAGACATAAGTTCTACTTCAACTTAATAGAAAACATCCATTTGTAAGTTCTCTTTTTGTGTTCTACTGTAGCATTTGGTATATAAGAAAACAAAGAGAGAATGACCCAATGAAAAGCAAAAAAAAAACCCTACTAAATTAACCTAACTTTCTCCTATGAAACAAAAGTATGTTGAAAAGAGGAACAATAACCTCCTTGTGGTTCAACTTGTGAAGTCTAGAAAAATGTTTCTTCTCCCAGTAGATAGACTACTACGACTGGAAAGTGCATTTTGTAGCTTCTGGCCACTAACCAAAAATCATGTTTGAAATTATTGTAAGATAGCATAAACATGTTGAAATATCTTTCTTTGACAAAAATCTTCCACATAAACAAAACAAAAACTGCTGAATGAATACTTAGAAGAAGTGCCTAGCTCCTTGAATCAATTAAGTGATCATCTTAAGATGATGGAAGATAAAGTGGTGAACTGAGAAAAATTGTGATTTGATAGTGATGCTTATTTGAAATGCTACAAGAACTTGTTACATTATTTTCTTGATGTTATGGCTTGGTAAAAGGATACATTTTGTTTTTACTGGTAATTCTTATTACTGTGACCAATCTCCTTTTTGCAAGAATAACATTGCTGAACGGACTTGTTGCTGCATATACTGCAAATGCATTGGTGAAGAAGGAGAACCAGGTGAACAAGGAAAATATGGAATGGAGGTAAAGGAGAAAAAAATACCAATTTGTTTAGATACTTTATAATTAATTAATTAATATTTGTACAATCATTATGTATTCTTCAAATAATATTTGATTTCAGTTATTCTTATCATAATTTCAGGGATCTCAAGGTTTTGAAGGAAGCCCAGGGCACTTAGGAGATGAAGGGGAACCTGTAAGTTATTAAATTACATTTCATGTATTTATAAAAAAGAGACATTTTAAAAATCATGATAAAAATCAAAACAACATGCAGTGATTCTGTACCATCTAGCATTACTTTTACATTACATTACTTCTGTTCACTCATTCTCTCAAAGTTTTCCATCTTAATTAAATATGTTTCTGTTTTTCTGACTTATGCTTGACACAGTTTGTTTAGGCATCCTTTTGGATAATTTTTGGTGTTAGTTTTAAGTTTTCTGAAATTCTGTGTATTATTTTTTCCCCCCGTTACCCTTGTTCAGTGATGGCAAAACTTTTCTTACGGCATGCCAAAATTGTTCCCAAATTTTCGGTTGGCCTGTTGGGGCCATTTTTCACCCTCCTCACCTCTGGAGGATTTCCTGAAGGCTGGGAAGGATGAAAACGGCCTCCCCCGGCACTCCGGAGGCCCATTGGAGCCGTTTTTCACCCTCCCCAGGTTTCAGGAAAGCCTCTGGAGGCTGGGGAGGGCAAAAAATAGTCCTAATGGGCCAACCAGAAGTTCATTCCCAAACTTCCAGTGGGCCCGCTGGGCCTGTTTTTCAAACTCCTCAGCCTCCTGAGGCTTTCCTGAAGCTTGGGGAGGGTGAAAAAGGCCACCCGCAGCCCTCTGGAAGGCCGAATATCAGCTGACTGGCACGCACATGCACGCCGGAGCTGATGACTGGCATTCCCGCAAATATGGCTCCGCGTGCCATCTGTGGCATGTGTGCCATAGGTTTGCCATCATGGCCCTTGTGTATGGATACCCAGATTGCCCACAGAATTTGGTCTACCAAAGACATATTTTAAAAAATTATTATATTGAGACCCAAATATCAGAAAACTTTGTGATTGGCTAAGTAGCTTTATAGAAGTAATGAAAAGTGTGTAAGACTTATCATGAGTTTCAATAAAAAAGATGTCAAAGTTTAAAGAACTATGAATATAATTTCTACAATGAGCCACAATGGCGCAGTGGTTAGAGTGCAATACTGCAGGCTACTTCTGCTGCCTGCTGGCTGGCTACCTGTAATTTGGCAGTTCAAATCTCACCAAGCTCATTGAGGTGGACTCAGCCTTCCAGCCTTCTGAGGTCAATAAAATGAAGACCCTGATGGTTGGGGGCAATATGATGACTCTGTAAACCATTTAGAGAGCTGAAAAGCACTGTAAAGTGGTATATGTCTCAGTGCTATTGCTAATTTAAACTCCTTTTTCTTTTTCTGTGTTCTGCATAACGTTGTTCATCCTCAAAGAGAATCATGTGATAGGGCATGTGTACACATGCATATATACATGCATATGTATAATTCAGCAACATATGAAAGCCAAAATATTCTCTGTTCATGACATGGAATTGATACAAATTCTGTATAATAAACTTTCTTGATTTTCACTATTGTTAGGGTCCAAGAGGGTTGCCAGGATCAGATGGTGATAAAGGTTACAGTGGTTGCCAAGGCAATAGGGGACCTAAGGTAGGAATTACAGTATTTATCCAATACCTTTAAAGTTTTCACAAAAAGTTCTTTATGCCACTGCCTGAATTAAGATTATTGTATTGATAGTTCTCTTCTTTTTCAGGGACAAAGAGGAATAATTGGTGAGAAGGTACAGAAACTTGATTTAAAAGCATGGACTAAAAGAAATGGACTGTATGCTAAAATTAGAGATCATATCCAAATGAGCACTAGCTATTTTCCCTCTTTCTGAAAATTGCAATATCCTTGATATTCTTACTGATATTTGTGGAGGTGGGGAAGGATTTTAATATTCACTCAACTAAGAAAATAATAAATAAATTTCTTTTTAAAAGTTATTTTTTGCCTTCCCACCAAGGTTTAATCTGTAGAGCTGGTAAAATTATGTAGGCTCATTTAAAATCTACCAGGGGAATACAAAAACTTCAGAAAATGTTGGGATTTTCAGAAGAAAAGGACAAATAAAAAATACAAAAAAAGAGTTTGGAAGCTGATATAAATACAATTATATCTTTAAAAAAGATAATATTATAATCTGCTGGGACCAAGTTTGAATTTTGGTGATCTGATGAAACCATCTGCATTGTTTTCTTGGCAACATTATGGAAACAGATTCCCTATTGTCTTCCTCCAGATTTTGTTTGTTTGGTTTTTTGAAATTTATTTCCCAATCTAGCTCATATTTCAGGGATTTTCTGATGCTCTCCCACACAAACACAAGAAGTTTATATTATGTTTAATTTTCAATCAGGAGTAAATAGATATTACCACCTACATGGTAAACTAATACTGCATTTCTCCCAGAAAGACAATTGGATAGATGAGAGCAATCACTTAGCAATTGGCTCATTGATACATCATTTGAATGAATGATTTTCTCAGGAACTTTTGCTGATGTGTTGTTTTTTCAGTTACAGCTGTTTCCACATTTTAAAATCAGTTGTTCCAAAGAATGATGACAAGTACTTTAGTTTTCCAATGTATTGCTGCAATCAATTTGGCAGTAATCAACACAATTCTTTGTTTTAAAAAATGCAACTTTTGATTAAAAATTGTAAATCATATAATATATTCAAGAGTTAATTGCCCATTATTATTAATTATTTTAACTTCCTCAAAACATCCCTGGACCAAAATGAATATATAAATGACAACTATTTCTAGTGATAAAAATATATGTCATTTTGTGTTCCCTCTGAGGCCAAAGGATTTCTCAGTTATCTGATTTTAGTCTTGAAGCACGGCTTTAAAGACATTTTGTTATTAGGTACCAGCATTAAAGATGGTCCTTACAATTCTTTAGAACAATCGTGGGAATCTAAAAGTCACACTAATCAATAGCTGTAATTCTAAATTCCAGATTTCCACACTATGTGCCTTCTGGAAGATGATATGATAACACCCAGAATTGTCATGCAGACTATGTGAACAAAGTTCAAAGTGTTCTGGAATGGCCCAACATATAGCAAATTCCTGATATGTAATTAAAATATTTATTTTATTTTTACTTATTAAATTTATTGGCCGCCCTTCTTACCACAGGTTCTGTGGTATATATGTTAGGATTTCACTATAGTGTAATCTTCAAACAAGTTGTGATTTCTGACAACTACCTGAACAAATCCTTGCAGGTTTTTTGGCAACATTTTCAGAAGTGGTTTGTTTTTGTCTTCTTTCTAGGGCCGAGAAAAAGAAAATGGCCCAAGGTCACCCAGGTAGCTTTGTGCTTAAGGCAGGACTAGAACTCCCATTCTGCTAATTTCCAACTTAGTGTCTTAACAACTGCACGACTGAAAATAGTATAACAATGAATAATTACCACAAATGGAAGTAATAATAATCTTGCAAAGTTTTCAAATTTTTAAAATCGTTTGCTGTCAGAAACTAAAAAACGAAAACAACTAAAATAAAAAGTAGTTTGGATGTTGTATATTTTTTGTGCTTGGTATCAAATCATAGAACAGTAATATGTGCTTGATCTTGTGATGAACTTTGCCTAATAATTTTTGCAGGGAAGCAATGGAGAAAAAGGATTTGATGGCATTAATGGAGAGCTAGTAAGATCTGTTTCTCTTTATTTTCTATTAATGTTCCATATAAATTAATGATACTTATTTAATTAATTAAATTTGATTAAATATTTAATTTAACTCAATAAATTTAATGACAATAGATTTTTTTGTCTCCAAAGGGCTCCCCTGGGCTTCCAGGATTTAAAGGAGAAAAAGGTGACCCTGGTAACCAGGTACTTGGATTTATTTGGTTTATTTATTTGAAATTCAGAGTGCTGGTATTCCAAACTCCAGCCAATCCATTCTAATTCCTTTCTAGCTGAGGTCAAGACAGTAGTCACGCTTAAGGTGACCAGATTTTCAGATTGGTAAAGAGGGACACCTTTGACCTGGGGGGGGGGGCTTGATTAAAAATTTTATAGAGCAAAAATTTTCATACAACGCAAAAATAGTATTGTAATATTTTTTTTATTTCAACATTACAATTTACAAATATAAATTTTAACTGTTGCCAAACATCAAAATTTTGATCACGTGACCATGAGGATGCTGCAATGGTCGCTAAGTGTGAAAATGGTCACTAAGTGTGAAAAATGGTCATCAATCACTTTTTTCAATGCCATTGTAACTTTGGTCACTATACCACTTTTCTTGCCACAGTTCTTAAGTGAATAACTGCAGCTGCAGTTATTCACTTAAGAA